CCCCACCCGTGCAGAGGGCCTCGTCAGCGGAGTAGACCTGGGCCAGGCTGAAGTCCAGCTCCCTCACGGGGTACCCCTCCTCAGCCGCCAGCGCCAGCACCAGGTCGCGCGTTATGCCGCGCATCAGGTGGCCGCCGCGCGGCGCCCACACCTGGGGGCGACGCGATTGTATGCATTGCAGAAACAATTGATTTGTGACCCGTCATCTCACAGTATGAAGGGGCCGGCGGGACACGGCGCGAGGGTGGGCTGGGAGGTGCGCAAGGGGCCGCGCAGCGAGGAGGCGGACAGGCGCCCGCCGCGGCGCGGCGGAAAGAGGGCCAGCGTGACGGGGGCAACGGCGGGGCTGCTTAGACGGGTCCACGAGGTGGGTGTGCCCATGTCCCTCACCTCCCCGCGCCGCACTATGATGAAGTTTGTTGAGTTGCAGGTGGCCACAAAGCCGTGGGGGTCCAGCATCAGAGCCTCGTCGGCACCAGCCTTGGCTGCCTGGGGCCAGCAAGGGGTGGGGGGACGCTCAGGGGCTGGCGGGCGGCGAAGGAATGCAGTATATGTGTGTTTGGGTGGGGCGGCAGTGTGTGAAGATTTAGGCGTGGCCAAGCGGAGTGCGGCTGGGAAATGCATCCGGTTGATAAAGCGGCCAGCCGCCGCGTTTCCACGCCATGACCCGCAGCAGAGCGAGTGGCGGTTGTGTGCAACGAAGCATCAGGGCCAGGAAGGGAGGGTGGGCATGCGTGGCCGTGCGCGCCGCCTGCCCTGCCCGCCGCCGCGCTCTCGCCTGTATGCATGCCGTGATGCAGTTGATCTTGCTGTGTGAGTTGAGGCCCGGGTCCTGCACGTCAGGGGCACCCCGCCGCACATGGACCTATGGCAGGGGTTGGTGCGGGGGTGTTTGTATGCACTGTGGTTGGTGATGGCCGTGCTGATGCAAAAGGAGTTAGCGCCTCCAGAAGGGGGGGCTCGGGGTCGACGAGCACAGAGAGCTCGCAGGCGTGAGCAGCACTCAGCGGCAGGCAAGCGTCAGCGCCCCGCTCGGCCTGCTGCATGCATCGCGCGGAGGGGCGCAGCCCAGAGGCAGCCCGGGTCGCCGGAACCACGCGACCTCACTGAAACGTTATCCCCTTTCCCCAGGCAGCTGCGGCCGCGTAGATTCTTACCGTGAACAGCCGCAGCCCCCTCTCCCGCGGGCCCCCCTCCCCCTCTGCAGGCGGGTCCTTCCATTCTGGCAGGATCACGATGGTGGGACGCCCCACGGTGACTCGCGGGTCCTGCACGTGTGTGTGTGTGTGTGTGTGTGTGTGTGTGCGCGCGCGTGAATGTTTGAGGAAGCATGAGCGGTGGAGGGCAGGGAGACACTTTGAGGGCGAGGGGAGCATGCACGGGGGAGCTTGCAAGCTGAAGGGAGGGTCGCGAATGTGGAGACAGCAAGATCACGAGCGGTAGAGGGGAGGGGGGGATGGAGGAGGGTAACAAAGGCACAGTGAACATCGCAGGGGGTGGCAGGAGGGTTGAGGGCGTCACCAGTGAAGCTGGGCGCAGGGTCCCTGTTTCGGCTCGTCGCCAGGCTGGCTCGGCGGCGGAGCGCTCAAGCGAGCCCCTGGAGAAGTGGTCGTGCCCTGGGCTGGTGGAGCGGGATTGCCTGTCACCTGGTATGGTGTCGACTTGAGGCCACGCGTCACCTGCAGGGGTTGGGGTGGGGTGGAGCGGGGT